TGGACATGGTTCCCAGAGACTGCTGTTACTGCAGACACCAGCCACCAGGGGGGTGCTCAGGCCACCTGCACTTCTGACCAACTGGCTGCAAATTGAGAGGTTCCCAAGACTCCCTCAGGTTTGATTATTTCACTAGAACAACTTACGAACTCAGGAAAGCTCTATACTTACTACAGTTTTATTAAGAAGTATATAAATCAAGACCAGGCAAATTGAGACACATAGGGTAAGGTATGGGAGGGTCCCAAACTCAAAGCTTTATACCCTTTCCCTATGGAATCAGGGCATGCCACCCTTCCAGCACATCAATGTGTCTACCAACCAAGAAACTCTACTGAGCTTCAGCATCCAGAGTTTTTATGGTGGCTTCATTATGTAGGCATGATTGACTGAATCACTGGCCTCATGACAGAACTTAATCTCCAGTCCTACTCCCCTCCCTGGAGGTCTAAGAACCCTCTAATCATATGGTTGGTCTTTCTGGCATGACTAGCCACATCCTGAAGTTATCTAGGGAGCCCACCATGGGTCACCCCATTAACATAAATTCGGGTATAATCCAAGGGGCTCGTGAATAACAAAGATACTCCTCCCTATCTGGGAAGTTTTTTTAAGATTTTATTTATTTGACTGAGAGAGAGAAAGAGAGTGCACATAAGCAGGGGGAGTGGCAGGCAGAGGGAGAAGTAGGCTCCCCATTGAGCAGAGAGCCCGATACAGGGCTTGATCCCAGGACCCTGGGATCATGACCTGAGCCGAAGGCAGATGTTCAACAACTGAGCCACCCAGGTGCCCCTCTCTATCTGGGAAATTCCAAGCATTTTAGAAGCTCTAACCCAAGAACTCCGGACAAAGACCAAAGTCTTTATTAACAATACCCTAAGAGGGAGGTGCTGTTATAATCCCATTTCCAGATAAGGAAACCAAGGCTTAGAGAGGAAAAAAACTTCTTGCTCACAATTGCATGGGCTATCTACTCCAGAGCCTGAACTCGTAATTTTTTATTATACTGACTGAGATGCCTATGGCAGACATCTCCAAATTAGAGTACTCATACCCTAGGAGATGTATAAGGAGATCCATGGGTATGCGGGAAGAAGATTTTTTTTTTTGGTGGGCAGCAATGCAAAGTTTATTAAGTGATAGTAAAGTTTACTGAGTGACAGTACAAAAGCTTCCGAAGTGGGGGCAGACCCGAGAGGGCTGCCCGAAAATATTTTTATCTTGAAAACAAAAAAGCTTCACTCATATATAGATTGGCCAGAGTACATTTATACTGTTTATAAATAAACGAACACTTCGAGGGGCATTCTCAACTTATTTATTTATGCACAATTTAAAAGTTTGGCAGCCTATGTACGTGGAAATTTCACATATGGTATAATGAGTATATGGGTCTCACATTCAAAGAGATCTAACTTGCTTACCAGTGAAGCAACAGGTATGAATGAGGTGAGAAAAGCGCTGAGATCAGAACTCCAGAACACCAACATTTAAGAGACAGGCAAGAGGTAAGAATTACCTGTGTCTAATAAGCACAGGGAAAGGAGTTCTACAATTCTCTCTGCATCTGAGAATGTTTCCATAGATACCACAATGCATCAAGTAAACATGTTTTTGCCTTGGATTTTTATACATCTGTCACAGTTATACTACTACTGCGTTAGAAAATTGTGCCAACAGCTGCCTCGCTTGGCTACAGTGTGTAGATGAGAACAACTTTACCCACCCTTTATTCTCTGTGCACTCTCTGAAGATACCAACAAGCAGCGTCAGAAAAAAAAGCAGAAGGAAAGGAAGTAAAGGATTTAGTTTAGACAATCTACTAGATAGCTGGCGTCTTGATAACTGATATGGATGGGGGTGGGAGGTGAGCGGACTCCTTAACTTGCTTTGGGTATGAACATTTGGTGACGTTCCTGCACCGCAGTGAAACAACTCTATCCCTCAGGCTATTTCCCTTGACTACTAGCTAATTCACCCACTAGACTGTAAACCTCTAGAAGCAAGGATTCTATCCCTTTCACCTTCGTTTCCCTCGAGACACTGAACACAAGTAGGCACTGAAGAGAGGTGTGCTAGGTTGAGATGTCTATTGTTTCTATCTTAGTATCTAGCCAAATCTCCCCACTCTCCTAACTTTTTCACCCATATTTTAAAATTCAAATTCTAGAGTGGCATAGTAACATTATAAATTTGGATTTTGATTTATATTGATCTTAAAGGGCTCTAACTTTTTTGGGTTTGTTTGTTTGCCTGGAGCCACTTATATGATCCAAGCCAAAAGTTAGTAAGATGGAAGGCATCTGTTTTTTAAGTTGGGGGATAGTTTTGGGAAAATACAAGTGGAAGACATTCAGCGTATGTTTTCCACAGATACCGTATTTATATACATCTTTTTGTTTCTAGGTGTTCTCTATTCTATGTATAAGGATTACATCAGACCTCGATTCTTCAATGTGTCCAAAAAATGAAGCTACATCTAAGACAAGAAGGCTTCTGAAAACTATTTATTATGAAGAATAAATTCTCAATATGTAGCAAATTATACTGCAGAAGAATGAGACAGTATTCTCATAGCCTTGTATATATAGTCTCAATTGTTTACAAAGTAATTTCCAAATCAGCAATCACAGTCAACTCAAAAATATCCTTATTGTCTTTCAGAACCTAGGATATGATTTTCTGACTTTTAGAATTTTTACTTTCTAGTTAGAGGCAGACAATATATTATGCCAAACCAATCTGAAAATTAGGAGTTATAATAGTGGCTACAGAAAAATTATCTATATCCATATTAAATGTGATACTCTATTCATCACTTAATTCTCTCCATATAGGGCAAGGTAATTGGAGCTTTCATAAATTCCTTTTGAGAATGGGAAACAATTGTATCAGAGGAGAATGGTCATGTTGTTATTAAAATTTGGTTTACCACTGTGCACCTCACTCTAATCTAAAAACTTGACTATTTTGCCACAAACATCAATGTTTGACATTTAAATATATCTGTGTATTCATTTTTATACTTCTTGAAAGTATTTCTAGGATCACAAAGGTAAATTGCTAAAAAAAAAAATCCCTTTCCCCCAGATGGCAATTGTGGGGGTGAAAGGAGTTCGTCTAATGCTATTGCTAATCTGGTATGACACTAGAAAACAAAGAAACCAAAGCAGACATTAAATGTTAACTATACCTGTGACCTCAAACTCCTCTATAACTGCCCTAAGGTTCTAAAAAATTAACTAGACTTTGTTGAAGTCCTAACTGCTGTGACCCCAATTTACTCCCCTAAGACTCCAAGCCTGGGAAAAAAACAAACGAAAAAATATTCACTGAAATAAAATCAAGAATGTACTATAAAATGATCTGTGGTGGTTATTTCCTTTTTCTTGAGGTCTCCTTTAGTGGTGGGTTAATCTGACAGGAAGGTGAAGTCTAGTATTCAGGAAAGGAAAAGATGTAAGAATATCTGAAAATATGTCTGCATTCCAGATATTAACCCACTATTCTGTGTATTATATACACTTCTCTCCACTGGCACAGGTAATAATTTTTGAAATTGTCATTTAGCTATCAGGAGGCTCTTCTAGTGCCACCAACAAGTGTACCTATTTTGGTCAACACTGTCCTCTTTGGAAAATAGGCAAAGAAAGAATCGTACCCAAAGAATCCAACTGCTTTGTTCCACTAAATAGTCCAGCAGCTGGATCGAATATGCTCCATGGAGGTCAGTGAAACTGAGAACAGCTGGCATAGAAATGTCACCCTTCAAGTTGATTACACAATGAAAAGGTATTTCTCATCAGGCTACTGGGAAGATTCTACTCTCTTAATATATACTCTGCACTAAAAACAGACTTAAGGGGGCACCTGGGTGGCTCAGTCGGTTAAGTGTCTGCCTTCAGCTCATGATCCCAGGGTCCTGGGATCGAGTCCCACATCGGGCTCTCTGCTCAGTGGGGGGTCTGCTTCTCTCTCTCCCACTCCCCCTGCTTGTGCTCTCTCTCTCTGTCAAATAAATAAACCCCCCCACAAAAAAAAGGAAAAGAAAAGAAATCTGGATTTGTACGTAAATTAGAGAATGATTAAATGTTCTTAACTTAGAAGTGTACCCAAGACTCACTCTTTAGAAATCACTCTCCTCTCCTGGTTTTAGCATGACTCAGGTGATCAAATTTTTTGATTACAGGAGTTATATGACCTGACGGATATACTTATAAACTTTTGTAAACTCCAGTCTCTCCCTAGTAACATATAGCTAAAGGAGGGAGATGAGTTAAAGAATCCCCCAAGTACTTAGTCTCTGTTTAACCAAGCACCTCAACTTTTTAGGAGTGGCAAAACAGGATTTTTTAACTTTTTTTTTTCTTTCTTTCTCCTAACACTCTCTAGTAATGAAACTGAGAAACTTAACTGCCCAAGAAGGGAGGAAAATCCAAATTAGTCCATCTAGAGTTGCTATCTGTGTATAAAGAATCTAAAATACTGAAACTCATTTTAAAAATCTCTTTTTCAAGTGAAAGCTGTTAATTGATGCTAATTCAGTTTCATTTTTAGGATCAGAAGGATGCTAAACTATATTGTAAGGATGCTACTCTTGCCAGAAGTTTCAAGGGCCCCCGACGTAGAAATGAGAGAATTTTCAAGTATCATCTTAGAAAACTTGCCACTTAGAGCGCCAAGTCTTTATAAATGAAAATGTCTGGATTTAACCAACAACAACAAACGTCTTACTGAAAAGCACTAAATTTTAAAATAAGACATATTTACCTTTTAAGCTGAGAGAGAAAAATGATGCTCAAAGTCATACGAAAACTTCAGTGTTTACAAACGCATGCCTCTGCGGCTAGAAGGAAATGGAGTGTGTGCCGCCCTGCAATATAGTCCATGAAGATGGATAGCTACCACTCACTCCAGCCAACTGTAACTCCATGCAGGAATGTGAGCCCCATGTTGAAAATTTCCTTTTCCATCAGATAATTATGCAAAATCTTTCCATTTTAAAGTATTAACATTTTTATTATAAAAATCTTAAGGAAAAAAGTCCCAGTTAAGAAAAGGGGTCAAAAAGCATCTATAACCCACATGTAGGCAGGCAGTTTATGACATGAGAACTAGTCGTCTAAGTCCTAGTCTAGTTCTAATCTCATATTACTTGGTATAAATATCTTTAAGTAAAATGCTTAGCATTCAGGGAAATTCAACATTAGAAATATTAGCCATTCCTGGAAATAGATTTTGGACCTAGAAATGGTGTTTAGAGTTTTCATGGGAAAAATGGGAAGAAAAGACTTGGTAGAACTCTACAAACATTAGAAAGAAAACAAATACCTCCATCATCTTCTATTGGGTCTTTACAAAATTAAATGTTAGAAGTTTCTTCTTTTATACCTAAAACCTAAATGCTAGAATGGGCTGAGTTACAATGTCACATGGAAAACTGATCATTGATTAAAGCATCGTTTCTGAATCTTATTACAAGTTATTAGGCTCTTTGGAAAATACCATCATACCTCTGACAAGATTTCAAGAAAAGCAACAGAGAGAATTATAATTACAAAGCACACCAATGACCAGGACCAAATATGACTGCTTGAAAAGAAGAAATGTTTTCCTTAGAAATGATGTGCTGATATGAAGTAGCTGATAAGGGTCTGGTCAATTAAAACCGACGTGGAATTTAACTGGCCATAGTCAAGTATCACTTTAAAAGGTAAGTTAATTTGACCAGATCATTCTGAAAAAGAGCATTACTCCCTCTCCTTTCTCACTTGTGACCCAGATAAAACAAATATCTGATTTATCTGAATACTATCTTTAAAAAAAATAAGACCTATCAATTTTATATAACCTTAAAACTCTACCCAAACGGATATGTTCAGGTTTACATAAATATACAGACACATATATTTTATAAATGCCAGAAGTCAAGACACAAGCCCATAGGGGTGTGTGGCCACGATAGGCCAATCATTTAACTCTGGCTATTGTAGGACTGTTGAGGTGGGTGGGTCTCTGTCCTACAATTACAGCTGTCAGCTTTTAACAGCCTTCCCACGAGGAAATCTTTGCCTTTTGTTCAAAATCTGAACAAAACTCACCTCTGAACTAACAGAGATATGTTAACAGGACACCTGGCACAAAGGGATTAAGACAAAGTGGTTCTTATACAGTCTCTCAGGCTGTCAGTCATCTAGACACAAGTGAGTCAGCATCCACGGTGTTCAGAAGGTAGAGTTCAGGCTGAGCTGTCAATCCCAGACGGTACTAAGGACAAAAAAAATGGAAAAGGGTTAGACTGATTTGCAAGTATTTATTTATTAATGTATTTATTATTAAAAGATTTTATTGATTTGACAGAGAAAGAGCACAAGCAGGGGAAGTGGCAGGCAGAGGGAGAAGCAGGCTTCCCTCTGAGCAGGGAGCCCAATGTGGGACTTGATCCCAGGACCCTGGGATCACAAACCTAGCAGAAGGCAGACACTCAGACGAGTGAGCCACCCACGCGCCCCATGATTTGCAAGTATTTAAATATTGTAACTGGCATGTGAGGACCTATAATCAGCACTTCAATAGAGGCCTTTATTCAGTACAGCTATATTGATTTTTATTTCAGAAAAGAAATAGCTTACAGATACGTGAATGGTTTATGGCACATAAAATAATAACTGGGAGCTGAAATAGTTAAGAATTGCGATAGTGCCGAATGCCCTCAGCAAAATTTGCACTTGACTATTCTTGTGATACACTTGGCTGCATTTTTTTTTTAAGATTTTATTTATTTGACAGAAAGAGAGAGCACAAGCAGGGGGAGGGGCAGAGGAAGGGGGAGAAGCAGGCTCCCCGCTGAGCAGGAGGCTGGGACTCCAACTCCAACTCTGGGGCTGGATCCCAGGACCCCAGGATCATGACCTGAGCCGCTTAACTGACTGAGCCAACCAGACACCCCAAGGATAGCTACTTCTGATAAGGACATTGAGAGCCAACACAGAGTGCTTTTGTATTCTAGTACTGTTTTAGAAATCAAATTCTAAATAATTAAATATTAGAATACTAATTCTAAATTATTAGAATTAAATATTAATTCTAAATCCTGAGCTCAGTCTAAATCCTGAGCCATATTATCCAGGTCTCATGATCTTTTGGCACCTGAGCAGAGAAAAGTGCTGAGGGAGGGAAATGACCTATGGGTCTCAAATGTTTGTCAGGCTGAATTGGAATCGCTTGGACTACTTTTAAAACACTGCGAGATCACCTTCCTGGAAATCCGAACCCCTGTGGTTTTTGTTTTGATCCACAACCCAGAACAGAGCCCAGCACCAGGCTTGCACTCGTGACTCTGAGATCTACACCTGAGATGAGATCGAGTTGATTGCTTAACTGAGTCAGCCAGGTGCCCCCCTCCCTTTTTTCTGAATCCCTATGGTTTGTGTTGGGATCTGTGAAGTTGTAGTTTACTCCTTTTCTCTCCTCTGCATACACCATGAGACAATCACTGAATCTCATTTTAGCCCTACTGTTATTACTTAGGGCTTTAGGAATGTCATCACCCCTTGGCATCAATAGCCTATGAGTTAATGCAGAATGTAGACTATAAATCCATAGGAGAATATCCCTATTATAGTATAGTGGAAAAGGCACCAGAGTTGGTTTCAAGCTCTAACTCTGCCACTTCCTGTGACCTTGAGCAAGTTCATGTACCCTTTTGGAGCCTTATCCTACTTATTTGTAAAATGGGGATAAATGCTACATTTGAAAATGCCGAGTACATTAATGTGCTGTTAAGTCTTCAACAAATGTAACTTTTTAACATATTACAAATTGCCCCGTATACCTCACAGGCTTGTGATGGCTATGTGAAGATGACCCCAGATGAAGCCCAAGATAAAACTATTCTAAGTACAGTGACTAACACTAGCCTTGGGGCAGAGACTACTCTTCAGACAAGCCTCCTTATTCACTTCAGGTCTTCTGTCTCAGGTTTTAGTAACCAAGAGCGATTGTCAGATATATTATAAATTCACTGCAGCCTTTTCACAAGTGCTGAGGTGGTGGGCTTCCTCATTATGTAGTAGGCAAGGGTTGCATTATTAGTCCTGTGATCCCCAGAGTCACTCGGATGACTTACTAGACAGAACCTCCTTGTTGAAGTTTGTCTGAGACACTGAGAAACGACAGAGGAATAGGCTAAATACTGTCAGGGGCAGAGAGGTAGTGCAAATGAGTAAGCTTAATAGTTCTTAGCTACCACTGGGGTGGGATCACAGAGGGCCCTGCCCTGTTCATCTGGCAGACAAATGCTTACCAAAAAGCATTCAAAGTTGTTTCAAATTTAGCACAGTCCAAACAAAATTAGTTTACCAGTTGGCAACTTGTGAGCTAAAACACTCTATAATCAGAGTATCACCCAAATGCTTTGATGTGTTCTCTTGTCCTGCCAAACACCCAGCTTGGTGTCTTAACCTTGCATGAAATGTGCACTATGTATTATATAGGATGGTTTGGTAATGACAATGTGGGCTCTGGAGTTAGGCTATTCAAGTTGAAACGCCAATTGCCAATTGCCTATTTAGGAGCGATGTGATGTGGGGAAGTTACTTTCTGGCCTTTCAATCGCCTCATCTATAAAGAGGCTGATCCTCTTGTTATAACAATTAAACGAGGTCATAGGAGTGCTCAGACCAGGACTAGTGCATAGTAGTCAGTGTTAGCCGTTTTTAACATTCATAAACTAAGGTGCCAAGAGAAGCTGATACATTTAGATTCATTGGTCCTATCCAATAAAGGAGCAGAAAGCATCCCAGAGGGCGGAGCTAAAAGAAATGTCTCCAATCAGGATCTTCAAATTGTTACATCTTATTTTAGTTCTGAAATTAAACCCAGATTAAGAAGGGAGAGCTAAATGAGGGAGGATAACACTGAGAACAGAATTCCCAGATTACTTCTATCCTGTTACAGTATTTGGCTCCTGTAAGACACACAGGAAAATCTTACAACAGAGAAAGGGAAAATGAAGTTCTAGTGACAACCTTGGGATAAATGAAGTGCTGACTTTCCTGTCATTTGTATGGTGACAGGGCCTGTAGTTTACTATGCCTGAGCTTTGTTTTATTAAATGGTGACAATATTTCCATTTATATCAGTTCTGCCAAAATGCTTTCAATTTTTAAGCTAAGCAATTTTGGTTTTTCTTTTCAAATACTCATACTTTTTATTGGCAGCACATACAGAATACAAAAGCATACTTCAATGGTGAAACAAGACTACAGATAGAAAAATGTTCAGCTTAGAGCAAAGAAAGGCAGAATAACAATTTTTTTCGAGTTTAAATATGGCAATGATGTGACCTTTAGCAACACCAAAACTATTTGACTAAGTGGGTAAACTGGTATTAGTGTTTGGGGTCTGCAGTTCATCAAGTCTTCCAGGGACTAAACCTATTTACACCTCTATCCCTTTCACTAACAATGTGGGCTTAAAATGTCATGTAGGTGGTGGCTGATGCTGCAGTATTTTGGAAATATTTTCTTTTCTTTTTAAGATTTTATTTTTATTATTTATTTGTCAGAGTGCGCGCAAGTGCAAGTATGAGGAGCGGCAGGCTCCCTGCTGAGCAAGGAGCCTGATGCTGGGCTTGGGTCTCAGGACCCTTGGATCATGACCTGAGCCGAAGGCAGACACTTAACCGACTGAGCCACCCAGGCATCCCCGGAAGTATTTTCAAGGTTAAAAAAAATACCCAGGAAACCAAACAGGGAAAGGAAAAATTTTTAATTACAAACCAGTTTACATACTGTTAAATGGGCACGAACAGCTCAGTTGTAACCACTTGTGATACCACTAGTAGAACCTCATAGGAGCCAAACTAAAGCTCTTCCCCATCCATTAACTCCCGGTGTGCTGTAACAGCACAATTACTTCATGTCACATTTATGGAGAACAAGGACCACTTTACATAAAGTACAACTGTATACTCTTAACATTCGGCACAAACACCACATGCTGGCACTGGGAGACTTCACAGCAGTGTTTATTGCACCCAGAGTACTGGTTGAAGTATACTTTCGTTCTGACAGGATCAAATGGAATACAGTATAGGAGTATTTTTAACACCGTCAAACACCACACATATAAAATGCCACTTAACTGGGAGGAAATTTTCCATCATCTTAAGTCATAAGCAAAACTTTTAAAAGAAAACAAGCAGCTTTACCTGAACTTCTAAATACTGTGAATCTGAGACTGACTGGACCTACCCAGACTCAGGGCAAAGGTTGTGTTATTGTACTGTCTTTACAAAAAATTTTTCTTGTCAATTTTGCCTTCACCTAGTCCAGCCAGATGAGAGATTAAGATGTCAGTCCCTAGTATCTTCACAGAGTGCCCTTATGACCAGTTTGGGGAATAATGACATGGAGAGGGGCAGATGTGAGGACGAACAGTGAGGGAAATTTATCTTTCATGATCCTGTGCTATATTACTTGAGGGGCTAAGATAAGGTATGGTCAGTGATACACAGCAGTTTATCCTTAATGCCTTTTGAAAGACAATCCATCCAATATGTACTCTTGACTGTGTGCAAAATATCAGCAATAATGCATTTAGGGGCTCAGATGAATAGAGAATATCAATCAACCGGGACTCTAGAAGGAAAGTCCCCAAAATGAGAAGTCCTTCAATGCCATTCCATTACTGTTCTCATCAAGTCAATGGCTGTTAACAGACTTGATTATTTATCTCCACCAGACAAATGTGATTTGATTGGATATAATCACATAATCTCAGGCTCCACATGTAAAAATGTCAGCAGTGGCTGAAGAGCAGCAGCTTCATGCTGAAGGGACCCACGTCCTCTGACTCCAGAGCTCCACCATCTGGTCTCAAAGTTTTTCCCTCTGAGGGAATGCCTGAAGAGAGGTAGCCCAGTGCAACCTTGCTGAGAGAGAACTTTTCAATCACAGTGATTCCTACTGACTTGCTGAGAGAGAGAAAGAGCTTTGCAACGGTTAGGTCCACAGCTCATGAGATTGCCTTGCAAGTTGTCTTGGGCATGCTTCGGAAAACCATGACAATGCTGGTAGGAGGTGTCTTTTAGGAATAAAATAGATGGCTCTTCTTTCCTTTAAAGTCTCTTCTCATTCCAAAATCTCATGTCAGTTCATAAATGCTACCATCTTTTTCTATAACCAACCTCCTGAATGAGGAAGGTGAAGGTTTTACAACTCTATGTGCTCAAGAATAAATATCATCAGGAAAGCTCTGTACTAACATGAAAGTTAAGAAAATCAGGACTTAAAAGAAAATCCTGATAAGCTTTCGATCTCTGAGGAAAATCTGCTCAGTGATTTTCCAAGGTGATTAATAACCACCAGCTACATGTCAGCTTTGCTATTTGTTTGTTTAGCACCAGCTTTATCCTTTCTCATCCCTCTTAACTTCCACCAAGAAATTTAAAGTGGAAATAAATTAAAACAATCCTGAACCTGAAAGACGGAGATGCTTCATAATTTTATATTCAATATGGATGAAACCAGTTTCATTGAGATTTTATCTTTTTATAATCAAAATAACTGACAGGGTATGCGTAAGAAAAAAAGTATTTCTCAGCCTTTTATCTTTTTATAAACAAAACCTGCATACCCATCCTGTAATTTATCTTATGAAAACTTTATTACATTTCTCAAATATTTTTTTTTTAACACATAGCCTGGTTAAGAAGCATGCACATAGGATTATCTCTCAAAAGGATAAAACAAGCTGGCCCTTGGGCAGCTACTTAAGAGTTTGTGTTGGAATGATAGCAGCAAATGTCAGCTTTTCAAAGATCCTATCTAATCTAGTTCCCAGGTTAGAAGGTCAAGAAGGAAAAAAAAAAAAATTCCATCTTTCACACATAAATTGAAACAAAGTCTTTCCCAACAAAGAGTTGAGTCTTAAATGCAGTCTGTGCAACAGCACATACTTTTGGCTATGTTCACACAGTAAACCACAGAAACACACTGGCTCTGATGGCTATACCTGTGGAAGACAGACTGATCCAGTGTTTACTTAGTATAGCCACCAGTGGCTTCTCCGGTCAGCAGGACTTTAGAGATGCTTACCGTGTGCGCACAGTCCAGGAAGGACATGCCCAATGCAATCAAACATTGCCAACCCTGAAAGATAAAGTATGGTCATCATTCACCAACCTCTTTGCAGATCCCTCTTCCCATCATGACGGCTCACACTGTACTGCTCAGATGCAAACCTGCTCTCTTCTTTTTTTTTTTTTTTTAAGATTTATTTATTTCTTTGTCAGAGAGAGATAGAGGGAGGGAGAGAGAGAGAGCATGAACAGGGCGATAGGCAGGCAGAGGGAGAAGCAGGCTCCCTACTGAGCAAGGAGCCTGATGCAGGACTTGATCCCAGGATCCTGGGATCATGACCTGAACTGAAGGCAGACACTCAACTGACTGAGCCACCCAGGTGCCCCCCTGCTCTCTTCCTTGAACATGTATCTAGCTCTGCTCATCTCCTACCACCCAGGTTGCACAAGTCATTCTTCCAACCCCTTACCCCCTTCAAGACATCCTGGAATCTGCCTTCCTCAACAAAGTTTCTTCATACTATTTTCAATATCAGGTTGCCGGTTCCTAGTGCTTTGTGCTTGTCATTTGTTTCTTTTGCCAACTGGGAGTTCCCTGAAGACCCTTTTTCTTCAGTCTTACCCCATTCCTCATGACGCAGGCAGAGGTGGAGGTAATGACCGACAGACCAATACAGCTGGGATAGTATCCCAAACTACTCTATGAAGTACGTGTTTTGGGGCTTAACAGCAGTAACCGACCCTGAATCAGTCCTCAGCCTAAAAATGGGGGTTCAACAACCTTGACGGTCTCAGGGTGACTGAGGACAACTCAGTCTCTTCATAGCTAATTTGTAGGAAGGAAGGATTCCCTTATCTTCTACAGTGAATTTTTAAAATAATTCCTGTCAAGGACATGTTCAGTTACTTGGGTTTCCTTGGGGTAAATCCTTAGAATATAGGTTCAGCATAATCCTAGTGTGCTCAAGGTATACTGGGGAAGAGAGAAGAAAAAATAAATAAATCCAGGACATAATTTTTCAATAGTCACTAAAGTGATTTTCTCAATCTAGTACTTAACCTGTGACAGATACTGGCATGGGGACTAGGTAAGAGCTAAAAAGATCAGCAGGTCTCCAGCCTCCATCCTTAACCATTCTCTGCAGCATGTATGGTATAAATTCTGCTGTCCCTAACACCACACATGCATTTTTCAGAGAAATCTGTACAGAACAGGGAGGAGCATTTGTTGTTTTTGTTGCTAGAACTATTTTCCATTACTATAAGTAATGTTACAGAAGATTTGGAAAATAGAGAAAAGAATATATCCATCAAGGAAACATCCTAACACAGCTACTATCACCATTTTTTACATAATTTACCCGATTTTTGAAAAAAAATATTTATTATCTTGGAATACATTATTCTGCATTCATTTTCTGTGTAGCTATGATTTTATAACCATCATTTTTAAATAACTCTAGAGTAATTCAATGAGAGAACATCACTATTCTTTCTTTAGTAGACAGCTATTAAAATCTTATGCCACTCCCTTTCTATACTGTTCTTTTAATTCCTCAAACACACTACACTCTCTTATCAGGAATTTTTTTTTAAGTTATTTATTTATTTATTTGAGAGCGAGCGAGCACAAGCATGAGCAGGCAGAGGGAGAGGGAGAAACAGACTCCCCACTGAGTAGGGAGCCCGAAATGAGGCTTAATCCCAGAACCCTGAGATCATGACCTGAGCCAAAGGCAGATGCCTAACTGACTGAGCCACCCAGGTGCCCCTCTTATCAGGAATTATTAAGAATGGAAACCAGACAGAAGTGACATGACAGCTCTTAAGAATCAAAATAAATCTTATGGTTAAAAATACCGTTTAACCACAGTTGACTTAATTTCATGTAAACTGTCTCATTAACTTGGAGATAGGACTGCTATGTGCTTAAAAAAAACACTGCTACATGTTCTTTTGGGTCCTTTCATTTTGGTGTTAATTAAGCCCCATCTCTACCATCTCTGATACCTACACCTCTGCCCCTCCTGAATGGACTTACCAGGTAAAACACAAAGCTCAGATAAGCCACACTGACCACAGCAGCTACCACATACAATGCCACATGCCCGAGTTCCTGGACATAAACCAGGACAAAGTACATGTTGATGGAGCAGACGATAAGGACCAATATCCCGCCTGCAATCCGCCAGCCTCTGTAAAAGAAGCATCAGTCACTGGTGGAACAGTCCAACCTACTCACAAGCAGGAAAGGACACTGTCCGGTGGGGTAGGCAGGACAGGATCTCAAAATGAACGGAAAATTGTTCTTACTACGTCCCAAGTAAGACCACCAATAGGGAGAAAGGGGGGAAAATACTCTCAAATAATCCTTAATATTTAAGTCCCTAGAAATGCAACAAGTCCTAAGTACCTAGAGATGCAACAATTTCAAAAACCCCATACCCTTTCAAGATGTATATAAAAGGTATTTGTTTATGGTTTTCTCATTAAGATCATTTAACATGGAATTAAGGTGCTTTACACTTCAGTGACTAAAGCTGAAGAATTAAAGCCCTAAGAGCGGAACTTTCTCCTGCTAGAAATGAAAAACGTGCTTGCCTTTTTTACCACATTCACAGTCTTTGTTCTCTGAGCCAAAGACTGAGGGGCAGCTCCAGCATTCACCTCTCAAAACATGTGGTTCCCCTCCATGACTCATTTTCTGACTGGCCTATTCAATGAAGACATGCTTCCCCCACGTATTTTTGGGGAACTGAGAGAAGTACACTCACATTCCATTGGCAAAGTCATTCATAACTGGCCGCAAGCTCGTAAATGTGAGGATGGGTATCAGAGCAAAGGGAAGCTGGAAAAGAGAGAAAGAAGATCAGATGGAGCTACTGGAGATCCTTGTATTACCCCCAAGAGCAGCACTGTTAGCACAAGGGAAACACACATCCTGCCTCATCTACCCCGTGAGAAATTATTCCTATCATCCCAAGATGCTCATGCCTTATGTTGAAACCTGTAGAGCCGTCATTAATTTAGCATTGATTCTGATCCCGTGTCTTTATAAACATTCGTATCTGCCTTGCCTTTTTAACCTCAATAGGACCTAGCAGTGTCCTGTGTTATTTAATGTTTGCTTGGATTAAAAACAGTAATTTTATACTCTGTATGTAATTATAGCAGATAATTCCCATTCAACAGGCTTTTATTTTATTTAAAGATTTTATTTATCTGATAGCGAGAGAGGGAACACAAGCAGGGGGAGTGGGAGAGGGAGAAGCAGGCTTCCCGCTGAACAGAGAGCCCGATGCGGGGCTCAATCCCAGGACCCCGCAATCATGACCTGAGCCAAAGGCAGACGCTGAACAACTGAGCCACCCAGGTGCCCGAGGCTTTTTTTTTTTTTTTAAGATTTTTATTTAAGATTTTATTTATTTGAGAGAGAGAAAGAGCAAAGCAGTGGGAGTGGCAGGCAGAGGGAGGAGACTCCCCACTGAGCAAGGAGCCCGAAGCGGGGCTCAATCCCAGCACCCTGGGATCACGACCCGAGCCGAGCCAGATGCTTAACCAACTGAGCCACCCAGGTGCCCCTTTTTTAAAAGATGTCATTTATTTATTGGACAGAGAGATAGAGAGAGAGCACAAGCAGGGGAGCTGCAGGCAGAGGCAGAGGGAGAAGCAGGCTCCCCACTAAGCAGGGAGCCCGATGCGGGGCTGAACACAGGGCTCCATCCCAGGACCCTGGGATCATGACCTGAGCTGAAGGCAGATGCTTAACCGACTGAGCCACCCAAGCGCCCCTCAAAACATGCTTTTATAAACCAAACCATTTCTAAAAGCTTTTTAGATACCAGGGATTCCATACATTTACTGCAGACTGAGACTGTGCCTCTTTCTTCCTCTGAATTTTCCCCAGCACCCAGCACTACAGGCTTGGTACCTACGGGCAATATATAACGCTGCCTGATTAAATGGGATGGGAGTTTCCCCAGCTCCCTCCTCACCTGTAAGCTCTGCAGAACATTCAGGAAGTCATTCATCCCTGTTAGATGCTCTACATCCTGGAAGACAGCAACAAGCAGAGTAGGGATGATGGCAATAGAGCGGGTGAGAATCACTCGGGCAAAGCGTGACCATTTTAGGTTCAGGAATCCCTGGAAGAAAACAGACAGAAGCAGGATGAATGCCTAGAACAGGAAACAGAGAAAGGTTTGGGGAGGTTCGGGAAGATCCTAGAAACATGGGATTAAGAAGTAACAAAAGGCCAATGTTTTCTTCCTCTAATCTATACCAGTCAAAACAGCACATACCTCCATGACAAACTGCCCAGAGTAAGTTCCTGTCATGGTGGAGCTCTGTCCTGCAGCCAGGATCCCCACTGCCCAGATGTAGAGTGCAGCTGGCCCAAAGTAACATCCTAGTACAACACCCTGGGAGAGGCAGGGGAGAAAGATGTTTGTGTCAATGACCTGCTTAGACAATGACCAAAACAGAATTTCTCTGCAGCATTTCTCCCTCTTCTTTTGCTACGTACCAACCTACACCAAGTACTGTGCTGGGCGCTACTCCCCAGAAGCTAGACTCAGGACCTGACCTCATTTTAGAGGCCTTCAACATAAATTTTGCTGGATATTCCTTCATTCCTCTGCTCAGTCTTTTCTCCAAGTTCCTAAAGCCTTCACCCTCAACTTATATCTTAAATATGTTTTAAAAAAAGAAAGAAACAAAGAAGTCTACACAACATTTCCCAAATTATATTACTTAACACACTATTCTGGAAGATAGTAACAGGAGTGAAGAGAAAGGTCAAATACATTTGGGAAATACTACATAAATTATGTATTCTACTCTTGGGAGATTCATAACGTAACCAGCATAAAAAGGACTGAGAGGTCCCAATAAAGAATACTTTACTAGGAGTACTTTCTTTAGTCTCCCCCAATTCACATCCTATAAAACAATATAATATCAACATAACTCTGGGAATTGCTGATACAGTTCATTTTCAGCTGATCCTCTATTCCCTCCCATGTAATCCAGAAATGCTTGTGTGGCATCTAGAGCTCTGAAATAAATGACACTCCAGAGAAGACAGGTTCAGCTCCAAAGCGAACCCACAGGAAAGATCAGACACTGTGCCAAGAATACTGATTCAGGAGCAGTGATCACAAATCTGAAAAGGCTTACCCCTTTGTAGATGTCCACAGCCAGTGTCGAGTTATCGTCAGGAAAAAGGTGAGTGTGGGGACTGCTGTTATTTCTACAGACTGCAATCTGGAACGCAAAGCAGTTTAGGGGCAACTTTTATTTTTGAGGCAAGGACCAGACCAGAAGAGTTCTCCTGCAGATCACAAACCAAGGGTCACATTCAAGTTATCTAGGAGACACAGGCTGGAGGTAAGACACTGGATACAGGGTGTGACACGAGCAGGCACTGGCAGCAAAGGCACTTGTGGTCTTCTTCCATAATCCTTCTATACCCTCATGCCATCAAAAACATTTACTGAGTTAAGACTGTGCCTGGTAATACGTGAATGCTGGCTGGCTTTAAGTGATGGGAGGAGGAGAGGGCCCTTAAGAAATATGAGAGGACTCCTTAGTCAAAGCAGAGCCAGGTGTCAGAGGTCCTACAGATAGGCAATCAGGAATCAAGATGATAGCAAATTCAAAATGCAAAAGAGTGTATCTCAGCCAGTTTCTGCTTTCTGTTTGTTGACTTCTCCCTATCTGTCCTCACCTCCAAATGGCAGGACTGGCAAGCAGGCTGGCGGTTGATAAACAGGAAACAAAAAGGGATGACAAAGAGCCCAAGAGACGTGAAGCCACAAACACAACAGCGTAAGGCAATCTTTATTCTGAGGCAAACTCCCTTCTGAGCCAATAGCTGGGAAACATGGGTCTAGGCTTGGTCTGCCCGCAGAATCTAGACCCTGACTAGTGCAGTGATGAGGGGGCAGCCCTAAGGCTGGAGATCTGTTTTCCTTGAGCTCCAAGTCACTGTTATTTTGCCTACCCCATTCCAGCCTTCACTACCCTCACATTCACTACAACTCATGACCCTGGCTTACTCACCACCTGGTCGTTGGTTTTCTCAAAAAATGCTTCGGCAAAGACTGAGACGACAAAGACGTTGATGATGAAGGAAACAAAGAGTGCAATGCAGGATTCAATGAAAAAGTACTTATTAGCTTCTCGAACTTCCTGCTTATTGGCTCGGTTTACCTGTCTGGACTAGAGAGATAAACACCAGTAGTCATTTTTTGATTAGTTAGAACAAGATTCCTAGTAACATTTCCTGAGTTTGGAGTTAGCTGAAAGATTTAGAGGGCAAACAACTGACCATAAGAAATGTGAGAAAACTTACTTACATCCCAGTTCATTAAGTGAGTAAGGACTTCATGACCCTCTGACAACACTGCACGTTCCCCAAACAGGAAATGATGACTGTACTACTGAGCTCTCAGTTATTGTGGCTAGAAGAACCACTGACATACAAAAACAACCTGATTTTCAGTCCTAACAACCTTAATTATAAAGGTCTCTGAAATCTTCCAGGAAACTACTGTGTAAGACTGACTGATAAAACCTTGGTTGGGCTCTTTACCCCTTATCTCTTCAAGGTCACTCGGTCCTTTGGGATTTAAACACAAGAGATTTGGTGTACTTTTGGACCTATTATGAAGAGTTTTAGTCCCAGTTTCTCTGTGGGGTCACTTATTTCTGGCCACCTTTGTGACAAAAACAGAGTCTGAGTGTGTAAAATTTATAAACATCCAACCGTGGAAAAACCTTTCACTCCTTTAGGGCTCTAATGCTTTTAAACTAGTGTCCCCTGCAACTAAAGGAAACATGAACTATCTGGATGACACAGATATAAGGGCCATGCTCACCTTGACTAAGGCAGAATGCAAGTACATATTGTGTGGCATGATGACAGCTCCCACGATGCCCACAGCCTGCTCGACCTGTGGGGTGTGACAGCCTGAACAGGATGGCAGGAACATGCCCTTGAGTACCTGGCTCTGGCTGGGTTTCACTGTAATATACTACATACCAACATAACAACTATTAGAACATGAGACCAGGGGTGTAACATAGTACTAGGAAACACTCAGCATCCACTGCTCCTTACAATACTCTTTTCAACAACCACCTAGAATAATGAGGAATATAGAACCATCAGAAAACCAAGAAGTATGAGGGACTTGCTTCCAGGTCTGAGAATTCAGGACTGTGATATCCAAATATTTCACATGATATTTTAGATATACAAAGTAGATGTGTGCAGAATGTCATTTACATTCTAAAGAATTGGACGGCTGCTAAGGGCCTCATTGACATTAGCTTCACAACAACTCCTATGAGACAGACCCAAGAATATAGTCAATTCTTGATTATCCATACTTATGCCTCTATTCACCTATGTTTATCTAAAAATCACTTACGTTTGCCACTAATGTATGCTGAGACTCATTCATAAATACTTCTCGTACATACTTTTTCCTGGTTCAGCATTTCTCTTGGACGCCTTAGACTAATCTATTGTATAATCTACTTACAGATTAGATGTGCTTTTTTTTTTTTTAAGATTTTATTTCTTTTATAAATGGAGAGACAAAGAGCGTGAGCAGGGGGAGGGGCAGAGGAAGAGAGAGAAATCAGATCCCTGAGATCATGACCTGAGCCGAAATCAAGAGTCAGACACTTAACCAACTGAGCCACCCAGGCGCCCCAGATTACATGTACTTTTAAAAGGTTAGCCAGGCCAGGGCGCCTGGGTGGCTCAGTCGTTAAGCGTCTGCCTTTAGCTCAGGTCATGATCCCAGGGTCCTGGGATCGAGCCCCACATCAGGCTCCCTGCTCAGCGGGAAGCATGCTTCTCCTTCTCCCACTCCCCCTGCTTGTGTTCCTGCTCTCGCTATCTCTCTGTCAAATAAATAAATAAAATCTTAAAAAAAAAAAAAAGTTTAGCCAGGCCAATGAGCAAAAATGAGTTTATAACAACTGGACATAGAAAGCTACTATTACTGCATATAATGGTACTGATTCCTAGGAGTATCTGGGTTGGGGCACAAACCAGGAAACATCCACTATATCCTTTATAGTTCATTGACTATCACAATACAGAGAAAATTCAAGCTGCAGTTGGTATAAGCCAGGATAAGCAAAACTAGAACCCCTCCAAGTTAACAGCCAGGAATAACCCTGCAGCTCCCTCCCGAGCCCTCTCCAGGGCTGCTCGTTGTGGGGCTAGCCAACTTGGAACCAAGGAGGCTAGTTTACAAAGTCCTAAAAAATCTGTTATTTTTGACCTAGGAGACCCAGCAGGCCTTCCCAGAGACTAGTCTCTATAGATCATATTTCTTCAAAATTGGCCTAGGCTAACTTGGCTTTTTGTTAACACATGTGATACAATTAAACCATCTTAGCATTATACAGTCTTAAAAGAAAAGGCAAAAAAAATCTTTTTTGGTTATAAAAAGTAATGAATAGCCTGCAACACTTGCCTCATATCCAAATGTGAGGGCCATAATGGTGATGAGAAAGCCAAAAAATGCTTCTAGCTTCCGTAAGCCTAAAGGGGAAAATGCAACAGTGAGCTCACAGAAGACAGACTTCTCCATCAGCCTCATGATGGAAAGTAGCTCCTTTGACTGACCCCTCCATTCCCACTCTCCTTACCATATTTGTCCAAAAAGAGAAATACGAAGGTATCTGCAATGGTGATGAGAACTCCACCCCACAGAGGAACCCTAGGTCAGAGATAAGAAATGGAGATTAGCAGGAAGAAAGGAAACGTTGAAAAACACTTTGTTTCCAACAGCTCTCCAGATAGACAACACTTGGAAAAGCAAGGACTCGCGGGGAGGGGACAGTGGCAGGAAGTCAGGCCTTGGGTAGTTTAGGATCACAGCACCAACTGAATGAATTATATTCATTCAAACACTGACTGTCTACTAAGTCAAACATTTAGGATACAAAGCTGAAAAGTATGGGTCTTATCCCTCAAGGAGCTCACTGTCTAGTGGGACAAACTGATATACAAATAAATAATTGTAACACACAATGTCACACACTGTATAATAGAGGGATGAATAACCCAACATGAGAACATAGAACATATAGAGCCTACAGCTGCTAGGAGAGAAGGTGGCTCCAGAAAGGTTCCACAGAAAAAATACTAAAATTGAATCTTGAAAACTGAAAATTAGTTTGGTTTTTGTTTTTACATTTGCTTTGAAATCTAGCAAAATATTACTTTCTGGAGGAAAACCCCCTCACCTTCCTACAGACAGGAGATTGATCGCAATGGCTGAGCCAATAACTTCTTGCATATCTGAGCCAATGATAGCCAACTCCACCATCAGCCATAGGATAATTCGTGGGACCTAAATACCAAACAGCAGAAAGACATGGTTCTAATTAATCATTTCTAAGAACTTTCCCTACAGTTTGGAATTCACATTTGGCACTGACCCATCAACAGTCCTCCATAAGGCTTTGGTCTAGAGATGAAGAACCAGAACTGGGCTCCACCTGGCCCACCATTGCACTGTGGCCCCCAGCTGGAGAAAGCAAGGGTGCTTCTGTGTGGTGGTGCCTATGAGCCAAGGTCAGGATGGCAGCTGATCCTAATTTTTTTCTCTTACCTTCCACTCAATAGAGGAACGGAATTTCCAATCATTAATTTCCACTTAATTTCCTATCTAAAAACAATCCAAAGGTTTTAGGGGAAAATGAGGATGCTAATATGGTCAAAATATTGTTCAGGAGAGTACAGAAAATGACCACAGAAGAAAATATCCTGACCGTGGCTGAAGAGACAAAACAAAAATGAAGAGGCTGGAGTCAACTTTAATGTAACGACAATATATAAGCAAGTGAAAAAGGACAAATATGTAAAGGGACTCAGGGCAAACTGGTTGAAATTGAGTGGCATATAACAAAACAGAAACCTAATCTGGTCAAAGAATCCAGGTGAAAGACAAATTTAGTTAATACTGGCTCACAGAGGCCAAAGGAAAAAAAAAACACCTTCAGGTATCTACTACGCAAAAAAATTATTACAAAAAACAACTGTTAAGATACATGAAGAGAAACTACAAGAAATTATAAATTACTAAGGTTTTTTTAAAGAAGCATATAAGGGGGAAAAAAGCAGATAAGCATAGTTTTTCACAGCCAGGAAAGGAGATTAAACATTTAGGACAAACCAGAGGCAGATCATTATCTTATCTAAAGGTGAAGCTAGGTTAAAACTACTTTCTGGTCCATTCCTGCCTTAGATAGCAGGAAAGGCCCAAAATGTCCAGGAAAAAGCTGTGCAAGACAGTGTAACCTCCAGGGTCAGGGTAAATTGAAAAATAATTATTAACAAATCCAAAGATCCTGCCACAGAGAGTTTGTAGTAAAAGAGAAAACCTTATTTTTCAAATTGATGACAAAGTCAAACAAAAAAGAAAGTATGTATAATAGGAATATGGATGTATGAATGAAAGTGCTCAGAGCACTCCCACCCCTCCATGGGCTGGGCACTGCTAGATGTCAGAAGGCAGAATGAATGGTAAATATTTACTCAAACTGAATTTTTCTAAGGAAGCTTTCTGGCAAAAAGTGAATCTCAAGTTAAATTCTGAAGGAGTACAGAAATATGGGTTGGCAGCAAGAGGGGCTACGGCGTTTCCCCTGGAACTCATCCGCAGGGCACTGACCACCAAGTCCTCCACTATTTCAGTATACCATGAGGCCAGCACGTTCCACCAAACATACAGGTTCCTCTGAGATGAGTGACAAACAGGACACTACCCGGCTCACCTTGGGATACTGACGGTGACACACTTCAGCAAGATGCAACCCCGTGACCACTCCCAGTCTGGCTGCAAGGCGCTGGAGCAGAAGCCCCACGACGGTGGCCAACAGAAGAACCCAGAGCAACTAGAGAAGAACAAAATCCCATCATAACACTTACTACACAACTGGAGTGTTTTCGTTTGGTTGTTTGGTAATGTGAATGAGAAATACTACATTCAGGAACGAGCCCAGGTCAGGGATCAAATAACCTGAGTTCTGTTTCAGTTTGTACATATAACCTGTTAGGTCACCTGAGACCTTTCTGAGCCTTAGTTTCTCCCTTGTTCAAGGAAAACTATGTGGAGTGGATAAAACAAATGTTAAAGCGAATTATGTGTATAAAATAAATTTTAAAAACCAGATGGCAAAATACTTTTCACCTAAGTGTCACTGCCAATGAAGTGTCTGCATATAACCTCCAAGGCTGATGATATCCAACAGGCAGAGTAGGGGGAAAGGATGTGAGGGGGTACTGTGTGTTTTTAAAAGGGACAGGGGTAGGACTAGATGTTCACCTTAAATCCAGCCACTGCTCCAGACTGCAAATCAGATTCGATGTTTCCTGGATCCAAGTAGGCAATGCTCATAAGAAAACCGGGTCCCGTGAAAGCCCAGAGTTTACGAAAGCTAAAACAAGAATACTATACAAGAGAGGAAGAGATCAAACTAATTATCACCTCCAAACTACTGATCTAATTTATCTGTTATTTTATCACATATAAAGCAACAATATCAGCTTCACAAGAACAAAGGATTTAGGATGTTGGATACTGGGTGTGTCCAAGTTCAACGTCCATCTTACCCACTTTTTTTTTTTTTTAAGATTTTATTTATTTATTTGTCAGAGAGAAAGCACAGCAGGGGATGCAGAGGCAGAGGGAGAAGCAGGCTCGCGGAGCAGGGAGCCCGATGCGGGGCTCGATCCCAGGACCCTGGGATCATGACCTGAGCCGAAGGCAGACGCTCAACGACTGAGCCACCCAGGCGCCCCCATCTTACCCACTTCTTACCAATAAACGGGCCACGTCTCTGTCCATATAAGAACCCTTCCCTTACCTGCTCTTTCCATCAATCAGCCTCTCATTCTAAAACCTAAATAACAGTATCAGTAGCCTTGTGCGCAATCACTACCCAAAAGGGACAAAAGCCATGGTAAAAAAAGAACACGAAATTCATACTTTCTAGATCAAAAAATAATCACTAGTGCAATGTGGCAGCTGTTTTCAAGGCCCTCATTTGCCTGAACAGTTACTGTAAACAGTTCCCCTGATTACAAAAGTTGTCTTCAGAGACTGCTTGCCAAAATTCGATCTGAGGCTGTTGATCTTGAGTTGTCCAGCAGACTTTTCACTCCTAAGTCTTCCCTAAATACTGTTTTCCTCCAAGGATTTGTCACTAACCTCCTCCTCAGGAATGGTGATCTTCTCATCAAAGTAGGTGGTAAAGGGCTCCTGTGAGTGCTCAGTGGACCGGGGGAGAGAGGAGGTACTATAGGCCGGGTTGAGGGTACCAAGACTGGGAGAGTCTCCATGGTCTGCAGAAACATCATCTAAATTAACAGGTTGGAGAAGAAAGAAAAATGAACAAAATATACCAACAACTTGTCCTTAGTAACTTTTAAATTAAATCTTTTTAATACCTAAATGCACAAGACCAACCTGGCTCTACTCGATTTATTTCTAATATTTTATTTTCATCTATACTTTCAATAAATTAATTCCTAACTAGGCAGTATATTCACATGGATGGAAATTCAGGAAATAAAAAAAAAAAGCTCCCTCCCACCCCTCCTCTCCAGCCACTTTGCTCTAGATCAGTTTTAACGCTCATCTCACAATGGTTTTCCTACTTTCACACTTCTATATACCCAGTTGGCAATTTTTAGAATCATTTCATTTTCTTCTAAAAACACTGATGCCTAGGGCTCAAAATATAACATTCCCCGACTAGCCATACTGGTAACCTAAAATCCTAACTTTTCGAAGAACAGAACCAGGTCCGTCTAGTGGGTTACTACCCTCCTCGGCCCCCACCTCCATCCATTATTTGGTAGGACTTAGCCAAAGAATCATCCTTGGACATTATGCCTCTGTCAGGCGTCTCAAAAAAATGTGGAAGTTGACAAATCCTGCCACGGTTAGGCTAAAATCTGAAGCTGCAGGGAAACCACCAAACAGGAACCCTTTGCCTCCTAAGGCCTGCAGTGAAGCGCTTCAGGTCACGCAGTGCGGGCACCCTCGTGACAAGAGGGCTCATCTTAGACTGCTTATTAGTGTTTCTGAGTCCTGCATTTTGCAGGTAATCTTAAATGCTGGGAAGGGAAGGGTCTGACAGAAAAGGGCTAATCTGCCAGAAGGATACAAAGCCCAGTTTGGTAGCTATCAAATGGCAATTTCAAAACACAGAGCTCTAATGTCAGGGTTTCCAAGAAATCCTTGCAACATCCAGTTAGAAAAACAAAAGCTTTCTTTCTATAGGAAGTGTGAAATGGCCCTGAATTGATGAGGAAATTTAAAGAAAAGGAATGAAAATTCTAAAGGGGAAATTTAGAATTAGAAAGAATTAGTCAAAACACTCCAGAAGCTCTGTGGAATACAAAGTTTAATGCGCTTGCTCGGTATTTTACTGCTCCTTGATGTAAGTATCTGCAGTGCTGTGAAGTGCCAAAGCATTCTAAAGGTTTTTATGCCAGGCCTGTGATTAATACTTGCCCTTGCAAGCATTACTGCTACAGAAACCAAACTTGAAGCTTATCTTGGCTCATCTCAGAATTGGAAATAAGATATGAGACAGATATTTATGGTTATCATTTATAGCCTAAGTTACTAGATGGTGACTGGATTGGACCTGATTGAAACAGGTCTCTATGATGATACTGTTAGCTAGGGAAGAGGATTTAAGGACAATTTTTGTTGTAATAGATGACAAGAAGGAAAATATGGTCAATTTCTATTACTGATTTAAACCTAATTCCTAGTAAAAATCAGACAATAACACAGCTGTAAATTACCATCTGGCATCTTCTGTTCAGGACCCAACACCATGGTGGATGCCTGAGTGTCCAAGTACTTAGAATAGGATTCTGGAAAGGAGAAAAAGGAGACAGGAATCAGCAAGAATAAACTAACAAGTTCAGAACAAGCATTTTGTTACTCCATACAACTGACCCCATACTAGATGAAAAGAATAATTCTTCTACTAAATTAAAGAACCTTGAAAATATTACAGTTTTCAGGGTATGATTAAGAGATATTTAATAAAAATTAAAAAGTCTTAATCACTTTTTCCTAGCAAGACTTTAAAACCAAACTGAAGCAAAAGATATTTCAGGGAAGTAGGCAAATACTTTTTAATAAGCATCCACAAAGAGGCTGCTAAGCAATCCCCCAGTCTCTGCCTTTGCTTCCAGATTAACTCAAATATTTATTTAAAACCAGATGGATTTCCCCCTACTTTTACAAGTTTTTAAGGACAAAGATCTATGACTCTTTTTGATCTAAGAAACAATTTAAGCTCACGATTCAATTTTCTGGAAAGGGGGGAAAATAGCACCTCACCACTGGAGGGCCATTATTTCCCAGCCTCCTATTTCCCTGAGGAGAGAGAGACTTCCCCTATAATGCTTCTCATTCCCCAACCCTTCAACAACCAAAAGAAGAAACTAATCACCATGGCTCTCCCTTCCTGGGCACTCAGGGAGAGATGAGGTACCAGAAGGACTAGGCATAGTCTGCAGGATGCCAGCACCTCTCTCCATCCCGCAAGGGAGTTAACGAGGGGTTGTCCCAGAGGTCTAGCGAGCGCCCTGATAGGTTAAGTTTAACTGGGGGGAGGAGGAGGATGGTCGTAAGCCCATTTGGCCACAGATCTATGGAATATTCTCCAGTCAACCCCACCGATAAGGTTGGCTTTTTTTACATTTCAATCTACTGATTAAGGAATCTATTTCTCAGTGGATTTCAAATTTAGAAGGAGAAAGATGAGGTAATATTTGTTAGCCCCAACCCCCACTTAAATCCCACTAAGAACGATCCTACTGAAAAAGTTATAAAGCCTCTCCTTAGTTATCTTTTACTGAAAAGTCTTTCTCTCTTCTCCCTTGTTCCTATCTGAACATTCTTCTACTTTCTTTTCTTAGACAATCTACCAATATATTCTGTACCTGGAGGGCGCCTGGGTGGCTCAGTTGGTTAAGCGACTGCCTTCGGCTCAGGTCATGATCCTGGAGTCCCAGGATGGAGTCCTGCATCGGGCTCCCTGCTCAGCAGGGAGTCTGCCTCTCCCTCTGACCTTCTTCCCTCTCATGCTCTCTCTCTACCATTCTCTCTCTCTCTCAATAAATAAATAAAAATCTTTAAAAAAATAAAGAATTCGGAATTCAGAGCTGAAGGGTTCTAGGTTTCATCCATCTTCCCAGATGTAAAACATACCACCACTTGCTAATTTGGAAAACATAATCTTTTGTCTCTATAATCACCAATATCAAGTATTTTGTTACAGTGGACAACTAGCCATGTCCCTCCTATCAGGTTTTAACCCACTAGATGGCTAACACCAGCCAGTAGATGCCAGTAACACTGACTACATTCAAACCCTCTTTAGCACCTTATCCGAATGGGATTTACATAGCTGACCACTGAGACTAGCAGTAGACACTTGGATTCCAATCACAGCTCAGCCCCTTGGCCCCACCCAATTATCCTTTTATTATACATATAATTCTAAGAAGCCAGGTTATAAGGTTATCCTAACCCATAATAAATTAGATACCACAAATCAGCTCTGAGACTTTAACTCTTATAGGAAAAGGTCTTGGACCACTTCATACGAGGCAAAGAGCCCTTCTTTGTACTTTGATCAACTCTGAGAACATTATTATTATTGTTGTGAAAAATAATGTTATTAATATTTTATTATTAATTATATTATTATTAAGAATAACTCAAATTGGGGCGCCTGGGTGGCTCAGTCATTAAGCGTCTGCCTTCGGCTCAGGTCATGATCCTAGGGTCCTGGGATCGAGCCCCACATCGGGCTCCCTGCTCGGTGGGAAGCCTGCTTCTCCCTCTCCCACTACCTCTGCTTGTGTTCCCTCTCTTGCTGTGTCTCTCTCTGTCAAATAAATAAATAAAATATTTTAAAAAAAATAACTCAAGTTTCTTTTAATGTGGCCCTACTCACCAAGAACTGACTAAATTAGATTACTTTTGCAGTGATGATTGATATCCTGTGTAAGTCACAGAAGTGTTTAATCCATCTGAGGAAATTTCCTACCCAAAATAAGCTTTTAACAATTGAGATAGGGTGCCTGGGTGGCTCAGATGGTGAAGCGTCTGCCTTTGGCTCACGTCATGATCCCAGGGTCCTGGGATCGAGCCCCACATCGGGCTCCCTGCTCCCTGGGAGCCTGCTTCTCCCTCTGCCTCTCTCTCTGTCTCTCTCTCTCTGTCTCTCATGAATAAATAAATAAAATCTTTAAAAAAAAAAAACAATTGAGATAGTAATGTGTTTTACCCTGAGCCTGTAGTCTATAAAGGTGATAGTTAGGGGCTCCTGGGTGGCTCAGTCGGTTAAGCTCTGCCTTCGGCTCAGGTCATGATCTCCAGGTCCCGGGTTGGAGTCCCACATCGCATCAGGCTCCCTGCTCAGTCGGGAGTCTGCTTCTCCCTCTGCCTCCCCCCACTTGTGTTCATGCTCTCGCTCTCTCTCAAATAAATAAAATCTTTTTTTTTAAAAAAGGTTATAGTTAAATAATTTTAGGCAGAAATATTTCATGATAAAATTTTAAACAATTATTATTAGTATCCTAAGGGATTATTTCTATATTAGTTACATACAGAGCTAATAAATACAAGAAGTCTGGTCTTCTCTGAAATCTCAGGAATGTATTATTCCAAGAAAGAAAAAAACTATTCTAGATTCCAACTTTCAGTCAGCAAACTATAAGCTCTATTGCTTCCAGTGCCTACAGAACATAATGAGGGCAGGAAATAGAGTGGGTCAGTTATACCTGGTGAGCTGTACAGTATTTAATCTCCTTGAAAACTTAAGACCCATACAGAAGCAGTTAATATTAAAACAGTTTTGCTCTCTAGGACCATACCACCAGGTTGTTTCAGTCATTTAACTACATTAATGAAAAGATCAAGTTGAAATACAAGCAACTAGAATCAATCCAGCAATACTTTGATAATTATAAGCAACATAGCTTTTATATTCTAGTTCACCCTCAACCATAAAGTGTCACCTTCTTCCAAATCCAGTAAGTTTCCTCCTGTCAAACAGCAGTCAACAACAGAAAAAAATGGCACTCTTGGTTAAATGTAATATAACTATTTTATCCCATTCCTTATCAAAAGTTGTTAAGAATGGGGGTGCCCGGGTGGGTCAGCCGGTTAAGTGTCCGACTCAGGGTTGTAAGATCAAGCCCCACGTCGCCCAGTGTGGAGCCTCCTTAAGATTCTCTCTCTCCCTCTGCTCTTCCTCCCCACTGCTCCAAAAAAGGTTGTAAGAATGTTTTACAAGTGGGGGTGCCTGGCTGGCTCAGTCAGTAGAGCCCGTAACTCTTGATTTCAGGGTCAGGAGTTCAAACCCCACACTGGGCGTAGAGATTACTTAAAAAAAAAAAAAAAAAAAAGTTTTACAAGATAAAAAGACTAATAAAATTACACTTTTTGTCTAAAATGCCAGAAGTGCACATACCCTTTGGCCCAGCAATTCTAAGAATGGATCTTAAAGAAATACTCACACAAGGAAGTATGTGCAAGGAAGTTTCCTGTAACATTGTTTGTAGTATCAAAAGACTAAAAACAACCTAGATATTAGTCGAGGACTAGTTAAATAAACTATGTACATTTACAGGATAGAATGCCATGCAGCTATTACAATAAAGCAAATCTAAATGTACTGATAGGAAACAATCTCCAAGACATGTTTTCAAGTAAAAAACCCACTGTATAGAATGGTGTGCAATCATTTATGTCAAGAAAAAAAAGAGAGATAATACACACTTATACATGTATGGACTACCCCCTGGGGACATGCCAAAAACTGCTAATGCCGTCCCCAAGATGAAGGAGTGGGGGAGCACAAACGAGGTCAGATGAAGGGAAGACCTCTCACTGAATATACACTGTATCCCATTTTGCACTTAAAAATTTTTTTTGTCGGGCGCCTGGGTGGCTCAGTTGGTTAAGCAACTGCCTTCAGCTTAGGTCATGATCCTGGAGTCCCGGGATCGAGTCCCGCATCGGGCTCCCTGCTGCTCAGCAGGGAGTCTGCTTCACCCTCTGACCCTCCCCCCTCTCATGTGCTCTCTCGCTCTCATTCTCTCTCTCTCTCAAATAAATAAATAAAAATCTAAAAAAAAAAAAAAAAAAAAAATTTTTTTTGTCATGTACTTGTATTATTTATTTTTTAAAAATATAAAGGTCATATGGATTCACTCAGCTTCTGAACAAACACTTTCAGGATGTGTAGTTGAACTCTATCTGACAAAACTTCTGTCGTGGATAATCAGAGAGCTATACCTATCCAACTGGCAGGCATACACTGTCATAAGCTTAACTTACTACTACTTTGTCTTAGTGCCCAAACAGCCATGCTCTGAAATTATGAATTGGGAGTTTCACTTGAATGCAAAAAATTAGAGGCCACGTCGTCAGGAAAGAGTTTCCTGACTCCTTAATTTGGGTATCCCCCCAAACACATACTAGCTTTAATCGATTCTGAACATCTAATTAACATGAATTCATGTGTTCTGTTAACATTCACAAGAACTCAAGAAGAACAATTTTTTTAAGAACAATTTAGATAAGGGCACCTGGGTGACTCGGTCGGTTGGGCATCTGTCTTAGGCTCAGGTCATGAGCCCAGAGTCCCGGGATGGAGCCCCATGTTGGGCTCCCTGCTCAGCGGGGAGTCTGTTTCTTCCCTCTCCCTCTGCTGCTCCCCCTGCTTGTACTCTTTCACTCTTCCTCTCTCTCTCTCTCAAAAAAAAAAAAAAAAGAACAACTTAGATAGCCCAAATCGGTTTTATATTTTTTTAAAGATTTTTTTATTTATTCACGAGAGAGAGAGAGA